CCCCAAAACCCCAAAACCCCAAAACCCCATCAAGCTAATAAATTTCAATGCTATATTTAATTAATTTATAAAATCAAAAGTAATGGTAGAAGATCAAGTGCAAATAAGTGACTATAATCCATCTAAAAGCTAGCTTTAAGTGCACAACTCTAAAAAGCTAATGTCTTAGACTGTTTAACTTATTGGTAAATTTGAATAGTATTTTTATTTATCTAGGCCATTAAGGAGAGATCTACACTAATAAGTTTTCAAGAGATGGTGATTATCTAGCGAGTGCGGGCTATGACAGATTAATATACTTCTGGGATGTGTTTGATCCCTAGTGCAAGAACCTTGGAGTGCTCAAGGGACACAAGAATGCTATTCTAGACATTCAATGGGGCCAGGAGAATTCTAGACTGTACTCAGCCTCCTCAGATAGGTAGATATTCGTGTGGGACACTGAGGAATTCACCAGAGTCAGGAAGCTAAAGGGCCATCAAAATGTTGTCAATTCAATTGATGTGCAGAGAGTAGGCTCTGATATTGTAAGATATTGTTATATTGTAATGCATGTAGTTGGTCAGCGGGAGTGATGACTATACTGTTAAAATTTGGGATGCAAGAGCTAAGAACTTTATTAGTTCTTATGAGTTGAACTATCAAATAACCTCTGTATCATTCAACAATACAAATGACTATGTTTTCTTTGGAGGCATCGATAATACCATTAAAGCACTGAATCTTAAAAAGAATGCAGTTGAGTTTGTATTACTTGGACATACAGATACTATCACAGGCATATAACTCAGCAAAAGTGGGAACTTCCTTGTTAGTAACTCAATGGATAACACAATTAAGTAAGCCTATAAAGTATTAACTTTAATATCAATAAAGAGTTTGGGATATAAGACCTTATATACAAAATAATGATGACAGTAAGAGATGTCTAAACACAGTTATGGGTATTCAACACAATTTTGAGAAAAATCTGCTTAGGTGTTCTTGGAATCACGATGATACTTTGATATCAGGTGGAAGTGGAGATAGATTCGTATGCATTTGGAATGCTGAGACTGGTAATATGGTTCATAGACTGGGAGGACATCATGGATCTGTAAACGAGGTAGCTTTTCACCCTAAGAAGGATATCATTGCTAGTTGCAGTTCAGACAAGACTATATACCTAGGGGATCTAAATAAATGATACACTCACAAGCCAGCATAATAATCTAATTAATTAATCTAATTCTATCATGATTAATAAGAATTAAGTTAAAAAATATCATATCACATTTTAAATCCAAATATTGATTCTTCGTTCCTTTTTATCACACCATTTTGAACTTCTTCTTTAGGTAATACTGACTTAATATCTCTCCATAGAATTTAACATCTACAAGCTCATTCAGTTTGAAGCTGAGAAGCGTCTAGATGAATTTAAAGGTCCATTCACTGGGCTCTGAGTTGTAGGACTTTGACATGATTAATTGCTAAGCCTTTTTAGGGTTATTTTACTTCTCGTTTTCGAGTCTCTTGACGTTTTTCTTCCAAAAATGGAACATAAAGCAGAGGGCGATGCTGTGTATTTCTGCTAAGGTATTCGTATCTTTGGTCTACAGTCTCAAGAAGTTCTTCAGTTAGCTTCTTTTTGCTTTGTATTTTAGTAGATGAGGCATCACACTTTGCTCTCCGTTAGTCAGGTGAAAAAAGACGATCAGGAAGTGCTATATGGGCATGTTAGTAAGTTAGCTTACAGATATTTGGATAGAAGATAAAGCTAGAAAGAACATTTGCTCTTAAGTTATAATTCTCACCATCTAAATTATATTAATTACAATAACGTGATATTCTTACTTCATCATATCTCTGAGCAAAGTATCTCAAATTCTCCACAGCAAGAATGCCGGCACCTCTGAAGTCAGTTCTAGGATTGTCACTCTGAAACCCAAATTCTCTCCATTATGAACCCTTTAAATTATTTAACTAGCTATCTCTAACTATCATTTCAGAGAAAAGTACATTTGCAAGTTAAAGTAATTATGCCTACAGTGAAAATTTAGGACAAGTTGTAATCGATGTCAAATGAAATTTTCACAAAATTATATTAAGGATTGAGAACTTACTTCATGATTAGTGCTCTCTAGATCATATTTGATAACCTTGACAGTCTTTAGTTCATAGAACTACTCAATTTCTGCCTAGCTCAAGTTTGTTTTGCTTGCAAGAGCCGGAAACATCTTCATGCACAATGATTGTTGCTCTTCATGTGATAAAGGTTACTCTAGTCGAGCATTTTCATCTACTCCTACATTTAGAAATTCTTCTAGGCCGAGGTCATCATCTTCAGACTTGTCTAATCTAGGCAGCTGCTTATAAGCATTCTTGAGCTCGTCATTATTTTTAAACTTGTGAGTCTTGCTCTTAGTTGAAGTTTTGTTCATTATCAATCAGAAATTTTAATCAGTCTGTTAACTTATTATTTCCCTCTATTCTTAATTATAATTTGGAAATTAATTTATCCTTTTAAATATAATAAAACATTGATAAGCTTAACAAAAGAAGAAATATGAATAACAATAATTTGCCCATTTAAGATTTAAACTCTAGCCTCTCTCGCAGTTCTCGAGCTCCTCTTTAAACTAGCATGAGTCAAATGCATATGGCTTCTGGTCCAGCTTACACCTCAAACTACTCTAAGTTTGCTTAGGTGCCAGGTTCTAATAATGTCCGGGGTGTAAGGACACAATCCCGGCTCAGATAATTAAACACATCTTAGTCGTAGCAATTCCTAGAAAACAAGATACTTTAGGATAGGATGCTCAGAATGAACCATGATATAAATCATACAGGGCTGGGAAATACTCACAATCCTAAGCACATAAGTGAAGTGCTTGCCTCTAGATAAAGTAGGAATCAACAGCATGGAAGTAACTTCTCATTCATGAGTCGAAGAAATAAAAGCAACACTAGCCAGTAGTACTTACAAATGAATCCCAATCATACTCTAAGAGTAGGCTCTCATACAGCTAGAGTCTTCGATTCATCAAAAAAACCCCAGACGAGTGTATAAATTAGAAGAGATTACTCGCCCTCAAAAGGCTAAAATGATCATTTTAGTAATCTAAATACTAAAAATATAGCAGCAGATCTGGATGAAAAGATCAAGCAGAAGGAGAACCTTTTCAATTCACATTATAATACCCAGACTAACTTTTATCAAGTAAAAATTTAAGTATCTTATTGCTATTTAGACTCCAGACTAAGGATTTCAATCTGCTAGGGATACAAGCAATAAGGGCAAGTTGATGCTACAAATGCACTTTGAAAAATTGACTTCTGAGTAGAAGATAAGGATATTACAAAATAGAATTACTAGATTGCATATGGAATAAAATCTCTCTAACAAGAGAATATTTAACATTGAAAAACACTCCAAGCTTATTCAAAGCAACAGATAAAGGTATTAAGAGGTATTTTACTATGAAAGTATAAATCAAAATTTAGGATCAATCTGTGATGATAACACATAAAGAGATAGTTGAGAAACGAAGGCAAGAGCTAAAGAAAAAAGCTGCTGAATTCAAGAATCAAACTCAACTTAGCCTCGAGAGAGTTAAAAACAACGTCCTCTATTCCAAATAAGTATCAACCAGAATTACTATATCATATTTCATAGTAAAATGTGTCAGATAATAAGAAAGCAAAGTTCCTACACAGATAGTAACTAGCTGAGTTGACTCAGAAAATTTACTAGGATAAGAAAGAAGTCAGAAACCGCATAATGAGAGAAAAGAGCATGGCTAACTAGTAGAAATCCATATTTGGGTAGTAGCATAATAGCGAGTTAGATCAAAACTATAATCAAAAAATATAAGGTGAAGTGCAAGAGAAGATCAATAACGATTTGATTGTAAGTTAATAAATTTTGCTTATTATGATAATGTTTAGTTGAAAGAACTTGAAATGGAGGAGCAGTAACTGATAGCAAATTTGTAATTCACAATTAGAAAGGAATAAGAATGGATTGAAAGAATTAAGGATATTGAGTAGCAGTCGATGAAGCAATCGAAGATGTTTACGAGCACTATGACTACAACTAAAAAGACCACTTCTACTGATAAGCCAATTAAAAAGAGAATGGACTCTGAGTTAGAAACAAATCCCAACAGCCCAGGAAACGAGGATGACTATTTAATGACTCCTTGATTGAATTCAAGGTTCTGCTCAAAAGAGGTCTTAATTTCATTCTACTTAGGAAATGAATAATATTTTACCAAATACAAATGACTTTAATAAGAATTAGAAATCGATACGGGGTTTTGGGGTTTTGGGGTTTTGGGGTTTTGGGG